ATCGTTGAAAGCCCAGATCGTAATCGTGATTAAAATTCGATTAATTGAGCAGCCCTAGTGTCATGTTATGTCATTGAGGTCATTTTTAACATAGTACTCTATTTTAAAATGTGTCATTTATTTGTCATTCTTCTGTTTGGGGTACAAAACAGTACCTGATTATATTTAGTCATTGATCTAAGGCTTTTGATACTCTTTATCGTGACTGTCTTATGAGGCATCTTTTTTTGGTTTTGGTGGCCAATTGTCTCAGCTGTGGTATATAAGCTGTGGGGTCTGATGGCTTACAGTCCAGCCTCATTAGTGTCAACAGAGGTGTGCCACAGGGTTCTATTGTAGTACCACTTTAATACAAAATAGTTAATGACTCAGGTGTAACCTTTAACGGTCCAAAGCATATAACACCACTCTCTGTTACCAGAGTTTTATGTACAAAAATCTTTGATTAACCTTAAATTGTTGTCAAGCTAAATGCATTAAATAGTTTTAATGCATTCCATTTCCATAAATAGTTTTATGGAAAGATTGCCAAGCATGCTTTCTGCCTATAAATCCTCCTTGATGCTAACTATTGTCACATTAATTTCTTTTTTCCATTTATTTCAAACTTTGTCTTGGCAAATTTTCTGGGTGTCTCATGAGTATTTTTTCCCCACTGTATACATCTTCACCTACACCAGATCCCAAGACTGTTTGGTCCTTGAAGAGAAGGATGTTAATACTGAAATGGGAAAAATGGCTTGTAATTATTAAGCTGTATGTGGGAGAATCTGTACAAGCTTTTAAAATAAGATGAAATGATTCCCGTTAATAAATTTAAATCCATTTGGTCCATGGTAATCACTGGAACTAATTACCTGAGCTTTTTCAAGTCAAGTCAAGTCGGCTTTATTGTCACTTCAACCATATACAGTTAGTACACAGTGAAGTGAAACAACTTTCCTCCAGGACCAAGGTGCTACATGCAACATAAATTTACAACATAAATTAACAGAAAACACTAAACTAGCTAACTAAGAGGCCTAGTTAGCTGGCTAGCAGAGACAAGACAGACTGACCTAACATGAATGACAACATAAATTAACAAAATCTAACTATCTAAAGAAGACTTTTTCTTTTTTTGTTAACAGACAGCAGACAACAAAGTGCACGTGCAAATGTGCGAACAAGAGCAACAAAGTGACAGTGTGAGAAAAAAACACAACGTAACATAATAATAAGGTTTTGTGATGATGAGTTGAGGTAGTGGAGGAACAGTAAACATTCCTTAGTGTAGCAGCAAAAATTAGGAAGTAAAGAAGTTAGTGCAAAAAGTCCAGTAATAATATTGTGCAAAAGAGCATTTACAGGTTGGTGTGTACGATAGTTTGGTGGTGTAGGTCAGTGTGTTTGCGCTTGTGTTGATTAGTCAGTCCAGTCTCAATGTTTTGAGGTAGTTGAGTTAAGCTGAGTGATAATGTTTTGTGTGTGTGTGTGTGTGTGTGTGCGTGTGTGTGTTGGGTTGTGTTTGTGTGTGGTGCGTGTGTGTGGATGTGTGTGTGTGTTTATCAGTCCAGTCCCTTTAGCTTATTGGGTTGTGCTTGTGCCTTCCCAATGCATTTCTGGACAATCATGTGGGTGCTTGTGTCCATGATGTACTTGGGTTGGCATTTCCAGTTATAGCAGAAATTTAGGAGGGAATGTTCTTGTTGTTATGCAGCCACCGCTGAGCGCTGGCTAGGGGGGCTGCTATTGAAAAATACAAGGAAGGGCTTGGTCCTAAGCAAAATATCCCGCAGTATGCCAGAGAAAAAGTCCACCCGGGTGCAGCAGGCAAGATAAGATCTGAGTGTGCGAGGCAGTGATATAGGATAATTGGGTTATACAGGGCGTTGGATGCAGTAGAAGGGTGGCCCTATTGGCACTCTGTCCTGACATATCATACCAGAACTCTCCAGTGATAATTGCTGTCAGAGAGGGTATCCTAACCATTTGCCTGACTTAATACCTCGTTGGATTTGCTTATCTTTGTGTGTACTGATGTATTTTGCTATTTATTATTCAGGCTTGTAACCTGAGCCTAACTTCAGTTAACTTTGACTCCTGCCTATACTGACCTGTATAAGGCTAGCACAGTGGAAGGTAAAGGTCAAGCACTCCTTGGTTTGGGTGTAATTACACAGACCTATTGTGTATAAGTAGGTACAGATGGACAGAGGCTTGTTTTTCTTGACTTTCAGAGCTACACCTTGAGTTACTCCACACCCCACCAGTGGTGCCTGATGTAATCAGAGAAGCTGGATTCTCTGATTTCTCTGATTTCTTTTTTACTTTCTCTTGTCTTTTGTGGAATGTAGAAATGGTCAAATGCGGCACTGTTTTAATGTCTGGGCCTTACTTCTTGAAACATTAATTTGCATCTTTGTGTGCCATGTTTCCCTAAGTAGCCCCATTTAGCCCCTCTGGAGTGAACCTGATCAACTGTCTGTAATATTACTTAGTGAGGGTTTGCTGGGGTTTTAAGTAAAAAGTGAAACTGTCTATAGCCTAACTTGTGTTTACAAGCACCTTAGGAATCATTTGACAAAGATTGTTCAGTGGATAATACAGCAAAATTCACATAATAATAATGGATTGGATTTATGTAGCGCTTTTCAAGGCACCCAAAGCGCTTTACAATGCCACTATTCATTCACACACACTG